TATTGATGTAGTAATTTATGATTTTTTAGTTATTCAAAAGTATATATAAAACCTAAAAAAAAATATACTTGTTTCACATCCTGCACGTGCAAAACTTTTAAAGGGTTAAGAACATACATCAAACAGCAACCGAGTACAAAGGTTGTAACTAAAAGAGATAATTGTTTGCTTTACTTCTTTAGTTACTGTTCTATGTTTTAGGAAAAATAACTTTAAGAACTTATTTCAAAAATATCAATAATCTATTTACATATATAATGTATAATAACTGAAATGTGACTGTATGTTACAAAATACTAGTCGACTAAAACACAGCCAAGACAAGTTACTTTGTACAGACGAAATATCACCTTTATGTTATTTGATAAAGTAACATGAGTGCACGTGAGCTGCGTCACTGTAACTTCTGTACTGTTAACCAGGCACAGGTGAAAGGTCAATATAATAAAAATAACAAATGTTTACAAATGTATAATGTTATGAGATTGAAGCTATATCGTCTAAACATTAATGTTTTCATGTTATAATTTGTGTTCATTCTAGAATGAAATAGGCATAATCTATGTTTCTTTCCTAATTTTTTATGGTGGTTGCGAGATCAGTCAAATCTACCAAACCTATACAGAGATTAATTTTCTTAATAAATGTTTGATAACTATCCGGACATTATAAAAATTTCGCATGTGAAATTTCAAAATTTTCTGATGCATAAAAGTATTTTTAGTTACTTTCCATATTGGATAGGCAACATGCAAAAATAAAAAAGGAATGAGAAAAACATTGCATTACAAACCTTAAGACTTAATAAAAAAATTTGAGATTTTGAGTATAAAAGCATTGTAATGTTTACTGATAATCTGCCAAATTTCCTTAACATTCGCTTACAAATTTAAAAGTTATAGCATGAAAAGTATAAAAAGCACAAAATGGTTATGAAGTTGGTCCCAGGGACCTAGCCTGGGTTGAAAGAGTTAAACAATAGAAAGGGAAAGCCTACAGAGAGTGACTTTCACAAGATGGTGATCGCTTAATGTAGCAACATCCAGTGGGATACCACATCCTTTTCAAGTAGAAAATATTCTCTACCCAATTTGTTGATATTTATTCACTGATATATTTGATGTACATTACATAAAGATTTATAGTAAAGGATATTAGGAATCTAGTGCCAGAAATGGGCAGAACATTAGTGTATGTAGTGTGACTAGGGCTCTAGGCTATTCTACCTTGGTGAAATACTTAACAGATTGATATTATAATGACAGTTGGAGAGAGTAGGAGCTTTCACCTACATCTTGAAGCAAATTCAAGTTCCATCCACTTGGACATATCCACCAGGAACTGCTTGGGAGATACTGTAATAGGGTGTCCTGTACTACACTTCAACCCTACATTTCTCAAACAAGCAGCGGGAGGTCCCAACCAATCTCTTACTGAAGGAGAACACAACTCTCAGAGGAAACTCTCAATATCAATCTCCCCAGCAGCTTGAGACTGGGGAACTAAGGGTTCCCCCATGCTCCACTAGAAATAGGGGGATACATGGTGAAGAGAGCACTGAAGAGTGTGCATGGACCAATTTCACCAAGCACAATCATCTGGAATTGGGTTACCACCAAGAGAAGGTGCAATAGGATACTACAACTAAAGACAGCAAGAGTGGGCCAGGTGTAATGGCAGGACCAGACTGTTTTTTTTTTTTTTGTAAAAGGTGCATAAATAGCTAAGTCAATTACATAGATATACTTGCAGAAAACCCCATCACAGCATTGGGCACTGAGCAGGGAAGGTGGTTTCAACCAACACTTTCTGTCTTCCCCCACTCTATGTGGATTTTGCTTAAGTATTCTCTGTGAGGCAATGTTGGATACTCAGTAGGTTCCAATGGCATTAAACATAAGGAACATAGGGTGTAGTTCCTCATAGAACATTTGATATTGTAAGTCTTGCCTCCTCCTTTTTGGTTTGCATATTGATTTTTCATTTATTTATTTTTGTTCGTTTAGTTGAGAAACTCGCTATTAACTGTAATGTGTACAAAAATCATGGTACACACATGAAGGTGTCATAAATGCATAAATGATGTGGATATGACTGAAAAACACAACAGACAAAACTCACCACACTAAAGCCTCTGGGTAGACTGGAAAATTGCAAATGAAGGAAGATGAAAATCAGAGGCACATGAAACTGCCCAATGATCTAAGCAATTTCAGAGGAATGCATTAGCTGTAGTCCACATACAATAAGATCTCCAAATGGCAGTGGCAAAAAAGGCCATGATATGGCAAATCTGGTGGGAGGAGACACAAAATAGTGTACAGTTAGATTCATCCATACAAGATATGAAAGAAAGATGAGCTGATAAACCCAACAGTTAAAGTGAAAGGAGACAAGTCCCAAGAAGAGGAAGTTTGCCGAGGTAAAAAGGGGCAGTCCAAGCAAGATAGCAATAGACAGCTCTTACAAGACACAAAAAATTATCAGGATCA